ACTGTCAGCTTTATATAATGCGTGCTTTTATGAACAAATTAACATGAGCTATTTGTTGTTGCATTTATAAATTTCCTCATCTCGATAAACAGAAAAAAATTTATCTCAAATGCTATTGCGCATAGAACGGCATTTCCAATAGTAAAGTACTAGAGCAAGTCGAAATTACTGCATTGTACACTGTTTTTCGATGAAAAATGATTAAGACAGCCCACGAAGAACTTTTCAAAATTTGAACGGTCGTGTAACTTCTCAGAATGAGAAAAAGTTTAAAACGTAATTTCGGATTGGCAATTGGTACGTAGGAGGCATTGATGCTATTATATTTTAGTGGTTAATTCTAAGAATGCAAGTTGAATGGCAATCACTCGATCTATTTTCGTCGGCAGTTTTGATGTTTTTCGTGCACAAAAAGAATTGTACACAATAGTATGTACTACCCCAGGTGCATAACAGGTTTTTAGATAAATTGACAATTTGATCATATTCATTGTAAGAATAAACTTCTTTATAAAATTTAATAAAAGAATGTTTATTATGATAAGTTTTCAAAGAAAGATTCTCTGCGTTTAAGTCCAACGAATTATACCTTGTGTCCGACTGATGTAATTAAATAAAAATGGCTTACTAAACAATTTTAATTCAGTTTCTATTTTTGAAGTAAAGAAATCTTCTTGTTAAATCTTTTAAGAAAACTTCGCATAATTTATTGTATTTTTTAAAGTACAAATAAATAAATAATAAGTTTAAATGCAAATAAAACAAAACATGTTTCAGTTATGAAATACTTTTCCGGCCAAGAAATACTGAATTTTTCTTTCTTTAGTATGATATGCTACGACCGAATGCTGGGTTATTAAACATATAAATTTAAAGTTGATGAAATAATTTTGAATATTATTTGCGGTTGAAAATATTTAAATTATTACGTTAGCAAAAGTAATACATAGATAGACCGATGTCTGTATTATACACCTGTAATTAGAAAAAAATGCCAAAGTGTAAATGTCTAATCTATTCTTTATAGATATAAAGAATAAATTACCGATTCTACTTTGGAATTCGGGTCACTAAAAATGGCTGACACTTTTATACGTCACTAAAAATGGCTGATTCTTTTATACGTCACTAAAAATGGATGACGCTTAAACGAAAATAATTTTTATGGGATACTTTACAAAAATAAATGAAAATGTACCTAAAAAATTGGAATGCAATAGGCCGCATCAAAATATAAAGTGGGTAGCAGTGCGACCGGAGGACAAAGGGTTGTTTCACATAAAGACTACAATGTTCTGCTTGCATTTTAATTTATATGCAATTCTGATTAGTTGTTTGTTAAATTATCTTAATATGTTTTGGTGCTTTCTTAAACGTAATAAGTTAATCATTATTATATATAAAAAGTAAAATACTGTAATTCAATTCTATAATAGTGACTTTGTAAAATACTTGAATTATATATACAAATTTCTTTTGACAGTGAGAAGTCCAGTATTTTCACATCTAAGTGTATCTCTTTACGGACTGACGACAATTAGAGCATTTAAAGCTGAAAGCAGATTTAAATCTATGTTTAATAAGTATCAAGATAAGCATACTTCAATGTTGTTTATTTATGCGTGTTTAGTTCGATGGATTGCCATATACGGTCACATAATTTGTTTCATAAATCTAATTATTACCGTTATTATTTTCGGTGTTTCAAATAATTCAGGTGGGTGAATATATTTAAATGTCCGAAATCTATAATATAAATATTTTTGAATTTATATTTAGCTGAAGCAGGAAGTAAAATTGGACTTATACTGAATTACGGAATAATAATAATTTTGAATATTCAATTCCTTATTTCATTTACATCTGAAATGGAATTTCAGGTATCGCATATCTAATCAATCCGATAATTATACTAATTATCAAACGAACAGCCAATTGCTTTATCGGACCATATCCAATTTTTCGAACAAGAGAAGACCTTCTTATTGTCTCTTGTTCACATGTTTTTGTATTATTTTCTCAAAAATATGTGAAGAAAATAAAGTCCAATAAGGGAATTCAGAATTTTGTTTGATAGAATTTTGTTTGATATTTCTGGTATTATCTGTTTAAAAGTTAGTAATCATTTACTTAATAATTAATTGTTATGTTTAGCACTAGTATATGTGTATTATTAGTAGAATGCAGTTTTCACAAAGTAAAAAAAACAACTTTAATTTTTTCCATTCATAGTTCAGAAATGAACGGCAAGATTTCTTTTAAAAAACTCAATTATCGTATAAATTTATCAAAATTATTTTTAAAACAAGTAAAACGGCAAGACCATTTTTGAACGAGACTATGGCTGGGAGAGCGCGAGAAACGCATGCGCAAATCTCGCACTTTTGCCTATTTGTAGAAACAATGTTGCCATTTTTGACGAGACTATGTCTTGTTTATAAAATCGTAGCCCAACAACAGCCCAACAAGCGCCCAACAACAGCGATATCAAAGAAGATAGGAGAATGAGAACGTGACCTGCCTTGAGTATCAAAGTGATTCCGTCTCCGAGACAGTCTTGTCCCAACACGGTTTTGCAGTTTTACTTGTGTATTTTAATTTCATCGGATTCTCAGTCACCTGACTACCTGCAAGTCTGTTTTTTTATTTGTAAATGATTTGGGCACCAAACACTGTGACAAATTGTAACTCCTGACATGTACTCCTTCATATCTCTAGAGTATACAGCCAGCTGTTGACAGCAGCGCGATTTTATAGACAAGACAGTCTTGTCAACAATTACGAAGTATCTATATTTCAACATTTCTTAAGTAACAACCAATTTTCCGGAAAAAATTACCGCTCTAAATTCATCAAGATGACACAAAATTGAAAGTTTAACATAAACCAACAAGAAATCTAACGACATTTACTGGTTACTTTAAAGTTTATTTAGAATTATTAATTATTACAAATCAGCAACATGCTGAGCAGTAGGAAACATTTATGAATCACCTCGTGCATTGTTTCAGATCACTTATACATTAATTAAATAAGAAAACAATAAAATTATGAAATGGTCATAATACCCAAGGATATTTACATTAGCAAGATATATACAATTATATACAAGGGGGTATTATGCGAGAATAGTACACATAACAAGAGCAAACATACAAAAAAGTTAAATCAATCTTCATACTGAGTACAGATTGTTTTATGTGAGTTACAAATAAACTATTTACAGCATTAATATTTCGGCTTTTACATTTCACAAACATTCGCAATTATAATCACAGAGAATTTATACAAAAGCTGTACAATTACGAGATATTATAAAATAGAGTTGATACAAAGGTTAATATTAAACAGAAATAATTTTATGAGTAAAATAGTTACAATAAAAGTTTGTATTCTTTACATACAAAGGCGTGAATAATTACAGTTACAGTCAAAGCAGGAGTAGTTTTATTGCCTCTGATCATTAAATACAACTTTATTAAGAACGTAGACGTTGGTAGGTCTGAAGATACTCCCTAGTCATCACCATGTTGTTCAGAATTTTCCACGTGAATTCTCTCCATTCAGCAGGGAGCCTCCCAACATTAATTCAGGTCTCATTTCAATTATTCGTAGTATCCATGAGATTTTTGTTGACACTTTGCTTCCGAATGTTCATGTAGACGGTACTGGGCCTTAATTTATTACAAACTTCGTCATTATTAATTTTGGTAGTAACAATTTTTCTCAATTTTTTGTATTTACTGAAGTTGTCGAGAAGAAAGTAAAATTATCATGATTCTTAGTAATACGTTTAATTAATAGGAAATATGTAATAGGCGATGAGAGCAGGAGGATGGTTCTGATTTTTATAGGATTAACCATATTAGCCAGTTGGAGAGCGTATTCCAGACTCTTACAGCCGATTGCAAAGAGAGTTTACGTTAAACGACCTTTATCACCAGAACGGCCTATAGACGTTGGCTGGCTGAACCGCGGTTTAAAATGCTTTAAAAAGACGACGATCGTCTATTTCTGAACGCCCTCTAAACGAACTTCGGCAAAACATTGGCTCTTACTTCGCTATTACTGCTCTGTTTTAGGAGTCATTCGGCCAATCGGGTTATTTGTTTGTGACGTCAGAAATGGTCGCCAGCTATATTCCGAAAGCTTCCAGAAATAAAATCTTAAGGCCGTCAAAACCATAGTTAAGCAATTAATGATAATCCTTTTCCATGATATTTAATTTCGTCGCTAATACGGTTTAAAAATGAACAAATCCATATTTAGAAAACTTATACCGAATTTGAAATTCGTCTTCGGAATAGATTTTTAAGGAATTATTTGAACATCTTATTATTGTCGAAATAAATAATTTTAAATATTTTATTATTAATATTACATTTTTANTGAACATTTAACACGAATGGCCAGTTGCAAAGGCATTTTTGCGAATTACACACCTGTGTTTTGTTTACACGAATGTAACACACTAAAAGTAAAATTAGCACTGTAATCTATTTTTTAACATAAACACCGCCAGTGTTAATGTATTTATGTCAGCGACGAGCAAGTCCATGTGTCATTTTTTTTTTAATCTTCTTATTTATATTACTCGTTTTAACTTTTTCACTGATGCCATCATTTTTCATTTTGTTTTTCGTCACACTACACGTCCCTCTCAACATTCTACTCTTCGCTGTCTTCATCTTTATTTCCGGGCTCTTGTAATTGCACACGTCCTGGCACTGTACTTCATTGCAGGTCTTACTTTGTTTTTGTGTAATTTTTCTTTCATTTCTCAGCTTAAATAAACAAGTTTTTGTGTGTCGTCTTGAATAATGTCTGCGCCATTTTTGTAAAGTTTTGCCTTACATGTTCTTGAACTTTGTCATTGTTATCACCTCTAAAAAACAGACATGTATCGAATAACAATCGTACCAGACACTTTTAAAGACAGTGGAAGAATTAAACTTATAAAACCTAAATTTTAACGTCTCAAATTACTTATTAGCAATTTATGTTTTTTAATTATAGGGATATTTTCTTGTTGCCGGCATGTGTGTTCTTCAAGCGATAATCTGTCCTTATCTATTTATATTGATTGCTGTCCTTTTAGCAATATTCTGTGCTTTGTGGACCATCTTTAGCCGAGTGTTGAAAAGCGTAAAACATTTAGAAGGAAAATGTAAGTATTTCGAACATAAAAGAGTTCATTGAATTTAACTTAATTGCATGCGTAAGTTTGGCGATGGAATTTGTGTACAGGATTGTAGACTCGGTAACATTATAAGATGCAAAGTTACAATGCAAAAGAACCAAATCGTTTATTTTATTTCATAAGCTATACATTTTTAAAAAAATCATGTGATAAAAGGTGTATTGATTCTGTACGCAAGAAAAAGGTTTTACTTGTGTAAAAACTTTATTACTTTGTGACCGTTATATCCAATGTTTTATATTTTTAATTGCCAACTGCCAGACAATCACTTATATTATGAAAAGAAATTGTTGTTTTTTACAATTACAGATTTAAAATGTTTACGAAAAATTAGACAGAATAATTGAACAAATTGTAACATATAATCTGTTTACTTGCTTGAAATAAATTTTAAAATATTACTTAATTTGAATACTGTAGGCTTATATTATTACAAACTTTTACGTAATCCTACAGATTATCAACGACAATGCATAAAACAGTAAAATATCTTTAATTTAGATCAGTGTTTTTCAACCTGTGGGTCGCGACCCCCAGGGGGGTCGCGAAGCCTTATACGGGGGTCGCGGGTAAAAGAAAAAGACAAGTGTTTGTAGGTCCTACACTATAATAAAAAAAAACTAGAATTTCAGCGAGAAGGCTGTACCTGTTTATACAGTACAGTTGGATTTTTGATTGACATGTAGGTCTGAATGATGGGTGTCGCCATGGAGGGGCCTGGGTGGGTACGGCCCAGAGTTGCCGTTCCTAGTACATTTGTACTTTTCTGGTACATTTTGCCCTTTCCAGTAAATTGAAAGTACATTTAGATTTTTAGTACATTTTCAGTACATTTAGATTTTTAGTACATTTTCAGTACATTATAATATTTCAAGTTCCATTTACGGTACAAATTAATATTTCACGCCTTAACAAAAAACATGAGAAAAAATTAGTTTAATAAAGTCTCACTAGTGTCACTGCTTGCTAATTTAAATTATCCAATCACAACATACAAATGATGTGTGTCTGTCGACGTCAGCAATATAGATAGTTGCACGTGTTTTGACTCAGTGGTCCTCTTTCGCACGTTCAGTTGTCTGCACATTCTCATCAGGACCTTGACAAAATTTTTCATGCCACGTGGTCCAAACAATTCAACTCCGTCAAACAAAAATAATGGACAGGTAAGGAAATCAATGATTTTAAACTTTTGTCGTCAATAATATCAAAATATCCGTTAAGTCAGAAACAAATTATTACAGAAAATAGTTTTGAAATTGTACGAGTATAAATAATATAAATACTTTTATATTATTTTCTACCACTATAATTTAATTCTTAAATTATGAACTTCAATTTTAGTAATCGTAGTAAAAGAAATAAGGGTTAATGTTACGTATGGTTCCAAAATGGCCGCGCTTCCGACTGTTCCAAGGTCTATATAAGAAGGTCAGGACACGCGTGATCTACTTCTTGAGCTGCCATTTTGGGGTTTTTTGAGTTGCATGTTTTAAGCAAACTTGTACGAGCAGTCAGTTTTATATGACATTAATTAAACTAAAATTGCATAAATCCTGTAATTTCCAGTCAAAAATATAATAATAATTTCGGATGATTATGCAACCCCAATTTTATGTAACGTTTTCATCAAATAGTTTAAAAGAAACAAGCATCCTTATCTTTTGCTGTCATGATTGAAATTAATTAAATAGGTACTAAAACTGATGCAATTACGTATATACCACTTCGTAAAGTGATGCAATAACATCAAAAAAATTTAAAGTATAATAAAGAATAAAATAATATAATATAACAAATTTATAATTATTTTTTTAAAGCACGATTGGTTATAAAATTAAGATGAAATTCAATAGTATTATTAATAAATGTTGTCAATGTAATGCTCATTTTATAATAAGTAATAGATGTGTAGATATATTTTTAATTTTAAATAGCTTTCAAAAAATTCCAAAAATAAGATTTAAAATTAAATTATTTGACAATAAACTATATATATATATAAACTATATATATATATAGGCACGTAAACAAAGTATTCATAGAACTAGTACATTTTGAAGGAAAATAGTACATTTTTTGAAGGCGCTTCAGTACGTTTTGAAATTTCATTGCGGCAACACTGGTACGGCCCACCCAAGAAAATGATAGCCGAAAAAGAGTGAGCTGCCTAGTAAATAAAAGTAATGATCAGAGAAGTGTAAGTGAAAACTCTCGTCCTAAGAAAAAAAGAAGAAAAAGGTCAACAGCATATCGGACCCAAAGTTGTTATGAAAAGAAAGTATTATACTATAAATGTCTTAAGTTATTGTTGATTCTACTGAAACTCTCATTTTAGTCAACAATAATTTTTCTCAACAGAAAGAAAATTAAATACATAATTTTAAAAGTCACTGATATAGTTTTAATATGGCCTAGGGGGGGTCGCCAGAATTTTTTAACTTGTGAAGGGGTCGCGTGTTCAAAAACGTTGAAAAACACTGATTTAGATAAACACATATAATGTAATTACAGGAAGTTATTTATTGCAGAAATTATTTACAGGAAAAACTTTCTGAACCTGCTGAAGGTTATCTGAACCTGCAAAAATAACTTGCAGAAATTATTTATGGGGAAAGTTATAATTTCTTATAACGTTTCCTGTAAATAATTTCTGCAAGCTTTTTCTGCAAGTTCAGTTGTAATGATCTGTTAGAAAATTCTGTATGAAAATTTTAATTTTTCAAAAGACGAAAGAAGAATTATCATGTATATTACAAATATTCTATTACAAGAGAGTGCGAAATTAAATCGCTTTTTAAGGAAGAACGGTTTAACCAATTAGGCATAAAGGGAATTTATTGTAATGCTTACAACTATTTAAAGCGTTGGAATTAAACGTTGAACACAAATCCACTTTATAATTTTTCAAAGCATTCGACTTTAACAAAGAAAATGAATCTTTATATCCAACACATCAAAGCATTGTAGCGAGAAATTTCTTTGTAAACTAAAGATATTCGGAAATGCGAATTTGCCGTTATAAATGAGAATTTCGAAATATTATGGGAAAATTATACGTTGTCTAAAGGTGGGAAGTAAACAAGATGTCTCGTAATAAGCGAGACACGATAATACTTAGAAAACTGTCAGCTTTATATAATGCGTGCTTTTATGAACAAATTAACATGAGCTATTTGTTGTTGCATTTATAAATTTCCTCATCTCGATAAACAGAAAAAAATTTATCTCAAATGCTATTGCGCATAGAACGGCATTTCCAATAGTAAAGTACTAGAGCAAGTCGAAATTACTGCATTGTACACTGTTTTTCGATGAAAAATGATTAAGACAGCCCACGAAGAACTTTTCAAAATTTGAACGGTCGTGTAACTTCTCAGAATGAGAAAAAGTTTAAAACGTAATTTCGGATTGGCAATTGGTACGTAGGAGGCATTGATGCTATTATATTTTAGTGGTTAATTCTAAGAATGCAAGTTGAATGGCAATCACTCGATCTATTTTCGTCGGCAGTTTTGGTGTTTTTCGTGCACAAAAAGAATTGTACACAATAGTATGTACTACCCCAGGTGCATAACAGGTTTTTAGATAAATTGACAATTTGATCATATTCATTGTAAGAATAAACTTCTTTATAAAATTTAATAAAAGAATGTTTATTATGATAAGTTTTCAAAGAAAGATTCTCTGCGTTTAAGTCCAACGAATTATACCTTGTGTCCGACTGATGTAATTAAATAAAAATGGCTTACTAAACAATTTTAATTCAGTTTCTATTTTTGAAGTAAAGAAATCTTCTTGTTAAATCTTTTAAGAAAACTTCGCATAATTTATTGTATTTTTTAAAGTACAAATAAATAAATAATAAGTTTAAATGCAAATAAAACAAAACATGTTTCAGTTATGAAATACTTTTCCGGCCAAGAAATACTGAATTTTTCTTTCTTTAGTATGATATGCTACGACCGAATGCTGGGTTATTAAACATATAAATTTAAAGTTGATGAAATAATTTTGAATATTATTTGCGGTTGAAAATATTTAAATTATTACGTTAGCAAAAGTAATACATAGATAGACCGATGTCTGTATTATACACCTGTAATTAGAAAAAAATGCCAAAGTGTAAATGTCTAATCTATTCTTTATAGATATAAAGAATAAATTACCGATTCTACTTTGGAATTCGGGTCACTAAAAATGGCTGACACTTTTATACGTCACTAAAAATGGCTGATTCTTTTATACGTCACTAAAAATGGATGACGCTTAAACGAAAATAATTTTTATGGGATACTTTACAAAAATAAATGAAAATGTACCTAAAAAATTGGAATGCAATAGGCCGCATCAAAATATAAAGTGGGTAGCAGTGCGACCGGAGGACAAAGGGTTGTTTCACATAAAGACTACAATGTTCTGCTTGCATTTTAATTTATATGCAATTCTGATTAGTTGTTTGTTAAATTATCTTAATATGTTTTGGTGCTTTCTTAAACGTAATAAGTTAATCATTATTATATATAAAAAGTAAAATACTGTAATTCAATTCTATAATAGTGACTTTGTAAAATACTTGAATTATATATACAAATTTCTTTTGACAGTGAGAAGTCCAGTATTTTCACATCTAAGTGTATCTCTTTACGGACTGACGACAATTAGAGCATTTAAAGCTGAAAGCAGATTTAAATCTATGTTTAATAAGTATCAAGATAAGCATACTTCAATGTTGTTTATTTATGCGTGTTTAGTTCGATGGATTGCCATATACGGTCACATAATTTGTTTCATAAATCTAATTATTACCGTTATTATTTTCGGTGTTTCAAATAATTCAGGTGGGTGAATATATTTAAATGTCCGAAATCTATAATATAAATATTTTTGAATTTATATTTAGCTGAAGCAGGAAGTAAAATTGGACTTATACTGAATTACGGAATAATAATAATTTTGAATATTCAATTCCTTATTTCATTTACATCTGAAATGGAATTTCAGGTATCGCATATCTAATCAATCCGATAATTATACTAATTATCAAACGAACAGCCAATTGCTTTATCGGACCATATCCAATTTTTCGAACAAGAGAAGACCTTCTTATTGTCTCTTGTTCACATGTTTTTGTATTATTTTCTCAAAAATATGTGAAGAAAATAAAGTCCAATAAGGGAATTCGGAATTTTGTTTGATAATTCTGGTATTATCTGTTTAAAAGTTAGTAATCATTTACTTAATAATTAATTGTTATGTTTAGCACTAGTATATGTGTATTATTAGTAGAATGCAGTTTTCACAAAGTAAAAAAAACAACTTTAATTTTTTCCATTCATAGTTCAGAAATGAACGGCAAGATTTCTTTTAAAAAACTCAATTATCGTATAAATTTATCAAAATTATTTTTAAAACAAGTAAAACGGCAAGACCTTTTTTGAACGAGACTATGCCTGGGAGAGCGCGAGAAACGCATGCGCAAATCTCGCACTTTTGCCTATTTGTAGAAACAATGTTGCCATTTTTGACGAGACTATGTCTTGTTTATAAAATCGTAGCCCAACAACAGCCCAACAAGCGCCCAACAACAGCGATATCAAAGAAGATAGGAGAATGAGAACGTGACCTGCCTTGAGTATCAAAGTGATTCCGTCTCCGAGACAGTCTTGTCCCAACACGGTTTTGCAGTTTTACTTTTGTATTTTATTTTCATCGGATTCTCAGTCACCTGACTACCTGCAAGTCTGTTTTTTTATTTGTAAATGATTTGGGCACCAAACACTGTGACAAATTGTAACTCCTGACATGTACTCCTTCATATCTCTAGGGTATACAGCCAGCTGTTGACAGCAGCGCGATTTTATAGACAAGACAGTCTTGTCAACAATTACGAAGTATCTATATTTCAACATTTCTTAAGTAACAACCAATTTTCCGGAAAAAATTACCGCTCTAAATTCATCAAGATGACACAAAATTGAAAGTTTAACATAAACCAACAAGAAATCTAACGATATTTACTGGTTACTTTAAAGTTTATTTAGAATTATTAATTATTACAAATCAGCAACATGCTGAGCAGTAGGAAACATTTATGAATCACCTCGTGCATTGTTTTAGATCACTTATACATTAATTAAATAAGAAAACAATAAAATTATGAAATGGTCATAATACCCAAGGATATTTACATTAGCAAGATATATACAATTATATACAAGGGGGTATTATGCGAGAATAGTACACATAACAAGAGCAAACATACAAAAAAGTGAAATCAATCTTCATACTGAGTACAGATTGTTTTATGTGAGTTACAAATAAACTATTTACAGCATTAATATTTCGGCTTTTACATTTCACAAACATTCGCAATTATAATCACAGAGAATTTATACAAAAGCTGTACAATTACGAGATATTATAAAATAGAGTTGATACAAAGGTTAATATTAAACAGAAATAATTTTATGAGTAAAATAGTTACAATAAAAGTTTGTATTCTTTACATACAAAGGCGTGAATAATTACAGTTACAGTCAAAGCAGGAGTAGTTTTATTGCCTCTGATCATTAAATACAACTTTATTAAGAACGTAGACGTTGGTAGGTCTGAAGATACTCCCTAGTCATCACCATGTTGTTCAGAATTTTCCACGTGAATTCTCTCCATTCAGCAGGGAGCCTCCCAACATTAATTCAGGTCTCATTTCAATTATTCGTAGTATCCATGAGATTTTTGTTGACACTTTGCTTCCGAATGTTCATGTAGACGGTACTGGGCCTTAATTTATTACAAACTTCGTCATTATTAATTTTGGTAGTAACAATTTTTCTCAATTTTTTGTATTTACTGAAGTTGTCGAGAAGAAAGTAAAATTATCATGATTCTTAGTAATACGTTTAATTAATAGGAAATATGTAATAGGCGATGAGAGCAGGAGGATGGTTCTGATTTTTATAGGATTAACCATATTAGCCAGTTGGAGAGCGTATTCCAGACTCTTACAGCCGATTGCAAAGAGAGTTTACGTTAAACGACCTTTATCACCAGAACGGCCTATAGACGTTGGCTGGCTGAACCGCGGTTTAAAATGCTTTAAAAAGACGACGATCGTCTATTTCTGAACGCCCTCTAAACGAACTTCGGCAAAACATTGGCTCTTACTTCGCTATTACTGCTCTGTTTTAGGAGTCATTCGGCCAATCGGGTTATTTGTTTGTGACGTCAGAAATGGTCGCCAGCTATATTCCGAAAGCTTCCAGAAATAAAATCTTAAGGCCGTCAAAACCATAGTTAAGCAATTAATGATAATCCTTTTCCATGATATTTAATTTCGTCGCTAATACGGTTTAAAAATGAACAAATCCATATTTAGAAAACTTATACCGAATTTGAAATTCGTCTTCGGAATAGATTTTTAAGGAATTATTTGAACATCTTATTATTGTCGAAATAAATAATTTTAAATATTTTATTATTAATATTACATTTTTTATATCTATAAACAGATTTCTGTAATTATTAAAATTGCCTCGTTTGTTTAACAGTACAATGACTCAGAAATGCATTAACGTTTTATAACCGACACGATACTCGAATTGTAAATAAATGAATCTGATTTAAATTAAATTGAAGTTTTAAGTCTTCACCCATTTGAATGTCGAAATTGGAACATTTAAAACAAATTTAAAATATTTAATTTTGTTGTTTTTGCTTCAAGCAATTAATTAATGAATAATTTAGTTGATTTATATTTTTTACAACGTTTATCAAAGGAACGATATTTGTTTTTATCTGAACTTCTCCACGAAGAAAGCTATCACTCGACCTGCTGTAGAGTGAGTCTAGAAAATAGGTCAAATAACTAGTTTTTAATCGCTGTCCACATTGTGGCAGGCGAGAAACATCGTCTCTGCAATGAAATTTTTCTGAACAACGGTTTACCCGATCTGTAAACCGCCGTCGGCCTCTAAACGTTGTCTCTGCAATCGACTGATTAGGTCCCACACTCTCTATCATTCCTGATTTAGATTATTTCTCAATATAATTATTTTAAGTGGCTCAAAATAACTCTGTCAAATATATCTAGAAATGATTTTATCGAGATGTTTGCTATCTTTTTTTACTTAGATCAGTGATACAAAGGTTAAACATTATTCTGACAATTAAGATTTTACTTGTAATAGTGACACGGTCAGGTAGGAAAAGATAATTACTACACCACTTCGTATAAAAATATTCCAATCATTAGTGTCATTGAAGTTCTCGGATAATATATATTGTTACTTCAACAAGTTTCATAGTCTCTGTTACTTCATAAAACGTAAATTTTCTAGATGAACTCGGTAAAACGCATTCTGAAATACAGCAAATTGAAACCGGAAGCCTCGTACGAAAGTTTGCCAGAAAAACGACCACCGTCTGACTGGCCACAAACAGGAGAAATTCATTTCCATAATGTTTCTTTACAATACTCCGAGGATAAAAACATCGTTTTAAAGAATTTGACCTTTCGTATTGGCTCGGGAGAAAAGGTAAAACGTATAGAAACGTATTAGAATAAACATATCAGAAGAGTATTGTTAGTAGTTATTGGGTAAAATGTTTATTTTTTATTTATTAATTGCAGATAGGAATTGTCGGGAGAACTGGAGCAGGAAAGAGTTCAATAATTGCTTCGTTATTTCGCATGACGGAGCCAACGGGAACAATCACCATCGATGGAATCGACACTAAGGAAATCGGTCTTCGAGATCTTCGAAGTAAAATATCCATCATTCCTCAAGTAAATGAACACTATTTCAATCAACATAAATCCTAGTTAATAATTTTCAAATATTTATGTGAAATTGTTTCCCTTTTTTCATTCGTAAAACTTTAATTTTTCAAATATGATAAAATATATCGTTTGTCGGTGTACAGTACTTCATGCTGGGTGTTAAAACTGTATAGGTGTCAACATACGATTGCATGGACCAGAGATCGAATCAGAACAAAGTAAAGTACACAAGAATATTTCATGGGTGGTCTGTTCCGGACATTTCGAGCCATTACTTTTTCGTGTTACTAGCTGTTGTGGACCCGACAGAACTTAACAGTGGCGTCGCGTAGGGAGCAAAGGCCCCTACCCTACGCCACTGTTAAGTTATACGCCCCCTGCTCCGGGCAGCACTTTGCTAGGGTTAAATTAATATTAAGAATCGTCGAATTAATATTAAGAAGTCTTTGTACTATGGAGGAATGACCAAAAAATCAATGGGTTTATTGGTAAGGTCAATAATAACATTGACAGCCTTAAGTTGAAGATTGAAAAAAAATGTGAGAGCCGGAAAAACGAAATTTTTTAGAGAAAAATTTCGTCTTTCGAATGTTAAACTAGTTCAAATCCCAGCGAAAACAAAATTTTCGATTTAATTACTGGAGGATAATCGCATCTCTCTTCCCAGAGTCACTTTCTTTCCCAGGTAACTTATAGAATGTGTCACCGGGAACTAAGTTCATGTATTCACCATTGATCGAAAAAGGCTTAAAAAGAGGTCATCGCAACCAAAAGGAGAGGATATAAAAGGATTAAATCGAAGGCAAGAAAATTGTCGAAAGTCCGAAAGTTCACGGACCCTGTTTCGTTCCCAAGAAAGTGTAATGTAACTGTGCTTCATCGCCAATTTACTTTTCATAAAAAATGATGTAATTGTAATGAAAATCAATTATACAAGCAATTATTCTTTAAAATTACTGTTTGTCTACTAATATGACTTACAACACTGATTTCTCTTACGGATGAAATCGAAAAGATTGGCTCAAAACAATAAAGTTTCTTTATTTGCGCGGTAACGTGAATAAAGTTATATTTAAATGGAGTAGGAGCATTAATTAATTAATTGTAATCGATACATTTATCCCTGTCGTCAGAATACAGTAGAGCGTCGATTTTCCGAATCAATTGGGGACTGGGGTTGTCCGGATAACTGATATTTCGGATAACTGATTTACGTACGAAAAAATAGTTTAACGTATCCGATGTCGAAATTTTTCTCCGTTGCGTGTCGTTTCGCGTTGAATTTTCGTCTATGTTAAGCCTAACAAAGACTATTGTATCGTTAAAAATTATTTTTTTTATTTTGTACAAACAAAATAAATATATTGAAAAATATAAAAATAATAAAAAAATTATACTTCAGAAGTTAATTTAGTATCAAAAACGTAAAATATTTGAGTAGCCCAAGACATAGCCAAAGATTGAAGCGCCACAGCACTGGCGAAAATTTAAATTTGCCGACTGGAATTCTTTCGGATGATTGACTTTCGGAAAATCGACACTCTACTGTACTAACACTTACAGCCAAAAAGTGTATAAATCTTTCTGAAAATTAACGGATAGTTTAAATTGTCTGTTTAATTAATGATGCCAGATGAATCACGTTTCTCGATGATTCGTTATTTCTTATAATCTGGCAATAATCTGATTCTTCATGTTCCGAATTAATGATATTTTACCAATTTCGTAATTAATTAAAATCAGAACATGAAAATTATATTAATTCTTTAATTTCTTAGCAGTCGATTTGAATCGTTGGAAGTTCAAACTTATTTAAAATGCTTTAATACAAGTAGTGAAAAGAGATAATCGCAGCATCGCTTATGCATTAATGATAAAGGAATCCTGCGTATTCTAACATCATTGAAATGATGTATTTTTAATATTTACCCTTTTTGTAATTGTAACGCATATTATTTAATATTTAAAATTACTGTAAAAGGAAGAGATTAACTACGCATATTTTTCAGGATCCGATGTTGTTTACCGGTCCTCTTCGAAGAAACATCGACCCTTTCAATGAATATTCGAACAAAACGCTGTGGAAAGTCTTAGAAGAGGTTAGAATTAAATTAATATTTCAATTTGCTCCCTGATTTTCTTTCTAATTATTTTAACTATTAAACTAAATTATTGTGTATTTGAATTAAAGGTACAGTTAAAAGAAGTTATTAGTAAATTACCTGGAGGATTGGATACGCACTTAACGGAAGGAGGGAGAAATTTCAGCGTGGGAGAAAGACAGTTAATTTGTCTGGCCAGAACCATTCTTCGCCGGAATAAAATTCTCGTCATGGACGAAGCAACGTCAAATATCGATAAAAGGTTAGAACACTTGAAATAGAAAATATGATGTAATTTCAATTATAAATTATGTTAAAATAACAGTTATAAATTACTGGTTAAAAAGGTTTTATATGTGATAGTTTATTTACTCATTCCTGTAAGTTGAGAAGAACACTGTCATAATACAAATTATGTTTGTTTTTTGTTTGTGTTGCTTAGACAATGGTTACACATTTTTGCAAATTATTAGATATTTGTGTATCTCACTTTGTGTTTCAGTCTCTGATTTTTTCAATTCTTATTATTAATTAAATGTAAACTTATTTTACTCACAATACTTTTTAAATTAAAAATTTCTAAAGTATTGTGATTAAAATATGTAAATCGTATAATTAATTCCTCTAAGTAAATCGTGAAATTATGCATAAATAGCTGTCAATCGAGTCGTAATATTACCATTTCCCAACTTTAACGTGGAGAATCGCAGTAAAATACCCTAACAGAGATGATGGTGTTTCAAGTAAGACTGTTCATATTCACGATGATTAGATAAACGTTATGCCAATAATCAGATGGTCGATATACAGAGTGGTTAAACTTTCAACCTATCGCCCTGGATCTCTGGAATGAAATTCTAACCAACACTCGCAAATATATTATGCACGATAATTTTAAATATGTTCAATCCTCGTTTGGGTTTTGCCTAAACAAGATGAATATGGAGTAAAGGTTTTCTTATGTTTATAGGCCAAAACGAAACATGCATTAAGAAAGCTTTATTATTTAGGTTCATAATTTATCTAGCTTGTTACACCTGGTTTTGAATACAAAATTATTAATTTTTTTTAAAAATGAGCTTTTCCCATAATGCAGCTTTTACAAATAATATCTTCACATTAGTCACTTCAATTCCCATTCGCTTTAATACATGTTTTACATGTATCTTATTCTGATGTGACAGTCTTTCATGCCACAGTTGCATGAAAGATTGGCACAAATTCAATGGCATTCACTACATGTACTTCTCCCTCTCGAATTACTGCTGTCATAAGCACGTAGTAACTTTTAAACCTTTAGCCACAATTTGTCTGTTTCTTCTGAGAAGACATTTTTCATTATCAGACTCATAAGTGAGTCCTTTCTCAACTAATGTTGTGATAGAGAGTATTACAACATTAGTTGAAGTGGTTAGAAAAATTTCCCATGTGTTGCGAACAATTAACTCAGTTTAATTCAGCCAGTTTTGTATGCTGTGGGACATTTTTTACCGAAAAATCCCTATTAACATGTATGATAATTAAAACACGGAAAATGAAAAACACGGGTGTAATAATTGGTGTGAGTTTTTATGAATCGTTGTAGATATTGATATTTTGAAGTCAATTTTACTATTTTCATACAGCATTTGTGTTTTATACTGATATTAATATTTTCAATTATGACGTATATTTCATTTATTTTCTGTCAAGAACCGATTCCTGTCTACAGAAAATAATTCGAGAAAAGTTCAAATCTTGTACTGTGTTGACAATAGCTCACAGATTACATACAATCATCGATTCGGATAGAGTGCTGGTAAGATTATTCATTTTAATAATATAAAAATAAATGCTTTGTTAATTACACATTTTCTATTTTTAGGTATTAGATACAGGGAAATTAGAAGCATTTGACTCGCCGTATGCTTTACTGAAGAACGTAAATGGTATATTTTATAACTTGGTAAAGAAGACGGGAGTAACTTCAATGAATGAGTTATTGAAAATTGCCAAAGAGAAATATTACTCTAAAGAAAGGGTCGAACAAACAAAACTATAAAATAGTAGATTGTCTTCAATGTGTATCCATCTTTTACAGATCGGGTGTTATGTTTTTTTTATTTAATTTTGTTTTTAGAGACATTGTGTCAATTAGTATTTCCGCACATTAAACAGTATATAAAATTGGTAATATCTAAACATTTGTGAGTTCAACTGTTAAATTTATCCATGATAAATTCTACTGAAATATAATTATAAATTTTTGGAGATAATGTTTTTAAAAATATTTACAATGGTTTATTTCCAAAATAAACTGAATTTTCAAGTATTATAAAGCAGTAAATAACTTTTATTGGAATAATTTAATTCAAGTCTTTGTTTATGAATTCCACCCGGAAAATCTTAATAAAAAAATATAATTCTAATACTAAATATGTATTCCGGCAAAAATTTGCATTATGGTAATAAGTAAAAATAAAATTAGCATAAATTTTTCAGAATTGGTTTGCTTTTGAATTATTTTTATTCCTGTGTCTAATAATCAATCGATCTATGTAACTCAAATCTTAAACTTGAACTTAAATCGTCTATTTCCTTTAATATTTCGGAATTAGGTAATGTTCGAGGAACGACATTTAACATGGTAGCTTGTATGTAAGAGACATCCATGTTAAATTTTGGTGGATAAACGACAACTAGGCGGAAAGATAAAGTCTCGAGTGAGGTCAAATTTAATAATCTTCTTTGCTTGATAGCATTTACTAATTTTTGATAAAAACCTATCTCAACCTTCAAACTTCAGCGTTTTTGCTATTTTATAATTACAATTAGCGATGTAACGAATATTCGGTTACTATTCGGTATTCGGCCTATTCGGCCTATTTTTCACTATTCGGCCGAATACCGAATATTTGATCACTATTCGGCCGAATACCGAATACCTAAAAACAGGCGTAAGAAATAACAAAAACACAGTAAATTAATCATTTTGGTACAGTATTTAGATTTAATGTTATCGGGTTAGTGTTGTTTATTTATAACTTGTAACAAGCACAAAATAAAAAAGAAAATAATATTAGTCACATGTATTCGCAATTTATAATTACAAAGATCAGCAGACGTACAGACTTATTCGTTCGAGAATCTTCGCGCATCTGATATCTGACCCTGCCTATCCTTCTTTTTAGCACTCGTCTTTTCTCTTCCCTTTCTCTTTCCTCTATCGCTCTAGTCCACGTATGCCTCATACATCATAATACGCGCTCACGATACTTTCGATTCGTCACTTTTCCGTCGTAGATTCCTAATTTTACAATTACGTGAATCATAGCCTGGTGATAACGGAGAAAAGAGACAGATAGGACGTCGGTATAAGTCACAGTTATGATTTCACAGATTCCAGACAGCTCGGTAGCTCGAACGGCCCCAGGCTTTCGCCCGTGCACGCTAAGTTTCTTTCATTACAATCATTTCCGAAGTCTATGACAACAATTGTTTGGCATTGACGGCCGCGAATTTCGCGCCAATAAGCTGCCTCGACTTGTTCGATTATGTTATCAACTCAATTTCATATTTATTTTCACATTTCACTTCGCGGTCCTTCTCTGTTTTTTTCCGTTATTTACACGTGTAGGTCATTTCATTGTTATCCACATTTGATATCATCACTTATCACATAAAGTACTGCCATGACGCTCTTGTCTGTCCGCTACAACTGTGAAGAATTAACGCGATTGACGAAGCGTAGTGACAGTGGGCCAATAGATAGCACGGTCCTTGCCATAATGCGCTTTGCACGCCAATTTTCGTACGTGCGTTAATCAATCCAAATAGTTTGGCCGAATATTCGGCTATTCGGCTATGCTCCTGGCCGAATATTTATAAAATTATTTATAAAATATTTATAAAATTTATAAATTTATAAATTATTTATAAAATATTTAACCTTTATTTGCAATTCGTGTAGTTGGCATGAAATGTAAGAAAATAAAAAAATGGGAAGAATTTTATTTTCAATTTTAAATGTGATTAATCCAATAAGTAACAATCTTAAATGTTTTAAAGGGAGCAAGAGATAACCCAACGCTAAACCAAAACTCTACGTATAATATTAAACGTTGACGATAGTTTAACCCTGAATGCTCTGTAACATTATAATGAATTGACTCAGTTTCACGATTTTTTAATTGTCAAACATGTCAGTTTTGGAAAACACTGATGCTACATGAATTTGGAATGAAGTATGCATACTAAAAGTGCTGACAGGTTAATTAATTAATCACATTTAATCATGGTGTCAGCATACATTTATTCCCATTTTTATTTGTTATAAATAATATAATAAAACTTGTGATATTTCAGGAAAAATCCTAAATCGATTTTCAAAAGATGTTAATAACATGGATGATATGTTAACATTCGTTTTCTATGAAGCCATAAGAGTAAGTATAACACAAATATACTAACATAGTTATATAAAGATATTAATATATAGGTCTTCATTCGGAAATTTATATGTAGGTATGTAAATATATATATTAGTATACACGTGTATTTTCAAGCTTTATTTAGGTTTAACATTAAAACTGGGCTAGTTTTTAATTTAAAATCTGTTACGAGGCATCAAAACTTGGCACACTGTGCAAGTTTTGCGTTGCTTTTTAATTAATCGAATACTGTAGAAAATAAAATTACAATATATAAATCGATAATGCAAATTTATTGTTATGTTTACATAATAAATGCATTAAGTATTTTTTAAGAACATAAATTTAATTCAGATGTAAATTAAAATAATTATTTAAATATAGAGCATCATTAGCAATTTATAACAGATATTATAATTTCAGGCATCTGGCTTCTCTATCGGAATGATTGTAATTGAAGCGATAATCTGTCCTTATCTCATAGTAATAACAATCTTTCTCTTAATCACATTTTATGCTTTGTGGACTACTCATAACAGCGTTTTGAAAAGCATAAAATATTTAGAAGGAAAATGTATGTATTAATAAATCAAAGTTTTTATATGTTATTTTATAACATGAAAATTGAATTTAGTAAATATTTATAAAATGAGTCATGTATTATGTATAACGTTTATTTTGATAGCGAGAAGCCCGGTATTTTCTCATCTGAGTGCATCCCTCTATGGAATTACAACGATCAGAGCATTTAATGCTGAAAGCAAATTTATATCCACCTTTAATGAATACCAAGATAAGCATACTGCAACGTGGTTCTTATACGTGTCATTAAATCGATGGAATTGCTTATACGGTCAAATAATTAGTTACATATATCTAATTATTACCATTATTGTTGTAATTGTTTTCGTGAATACTGGTAAGTGTATATATTGAACATCCTAAAATTAGAAAGTTCAATACATTTTTAACTTATACAATTTATAGACGATGTAGGAAGCAAACTAGGTCTTGTTATGAATTACGGATTAATGATATTTGTGCATTTTCAGTGGATAATAAAACAATCTTCTGAAACAGAGTATCAGGTAATTTTATTTCATTATTATTATTTATTATCAATTAACTATGGGCCATCAATAAGGATGTGGTTATAAAAAAATTCACACTGATAATTGGTTACAGAATTGCACCTTACTAAAAAGCTTGCAATGTGAAGTCTCCGGGTGTTTTCGTGACACCCACCTAGAATCGAGTTTATTTATTATTAAACGTTATATTACATATATTACATTAAGTAATGTATATTACATTAAATAATGTAATATTTGATATATTCTGTACAGAATTTTCAACTGGATTTTCAAGTAACAACACAAACACTTGGCAGATCAGATTTAAATTGGATGTAATTATCCAGAACCGCGTTGAACCACGAAAAGCACCAATGTTATAATTTATGAGGATACATACAAATAACAAGAAACACTGTACATGATGATAATACAGTAGAGCGTTGATGATCCGAATGTCAATCATCCGAAAGAATTCCAGTCAGCAAATTTAAATTTTCGCCAGTGCTGTGGCGCTGCAATCTTTGACTATGTCTTGGGCTACTCAAATATTTTACGTTTTTGATACTAAATTAACTTTTGAAGTATAATTTTTTATTGTTTTTATATTTTTCAATATATTTATTTTGTTTGTACAAAATAAAAAAATAATTTTTAACGATACAATAGTCTTTGTTAGGCTTAACATCGACGAAAATTCAACGCGAAGCGACACGCAACGAAGAAAAATTTCAACATGGGATACGTTAAACTATTTT